TTGGCCGAAGAAGCGATTGACATGTGCTATATCGAGAATACTGCGGCTTGAACAGGGAAGAAGGTCTGTGTGTGTAGCGAAGGTGGGTGGCACACAACCGATTCGTTCGATCATCACCGAAATAATCAAGATAAGACCCGTTCCAACGGCCGCGACTCCGTTGGCCTCGTACAGTTTGACAACGCATCCTCGCGGTAGTTGTCTGTCGTCTGTCTGCACTCGGCACCACCACGAATCCATGATTTCTTGGTTTGTGCAGTTGTGCTTTCGTATATGCACACATCTGTACAATTATGCACATTTCATGTGAATGCATGCGCGTCATTCCACCACATAGCATCGATTCCACACGGCTTTTCGGCTGCTTTAACGTTTTCCCGTTGTTTCAATCGTCATCGACTCGGACGCTCCGAGTGCATTTATCGGGAAAAAGTCTCGATGTTTGTTGCAATCCGTTTATCATTCGCATTCCTGGGACGTGTTTCTCATCGATTAGAGATTCTGATATATTGTTACCAGTTGGATGTTTTTCCTGTACTCATGCTAATTTTTCCTAATTCCCCGCAGCCTTTGTTGCCCGAAGATTCCAAATTTCATAGACGCCCATAGTTTTACATTTCATCTGCGCCGACATTCGATTTTCCCAATTAGTGTCATGTGAGCAATGTGGGAAGTTCCTCGCATTAGTAGAAAGTAAGACTGAATCTTCCCAACCCTTTCGCGAAAGTATTTCTTTAATTGAAGTACTTTTATTGGTTTTCGCTGCAATCTATCAAAAGATCTGAGGCACACTAGTGGTACTAACGCTGTTTTTCCCTTTTTTCGACAATCTGTATAGCAGGTCTTTCCTTCATAAACCCCTATAAAATAACACAAATTCATTAGAATTGAGCGTTACGTCCTTGCTTGAGAAAACCTCTTCGCACAGCCGATGCTCATTTTCTTCCTACTTAGGAGATTCACAATCATGCATCTCACAACTTCTTACAGTAATTATTTCAAATAGAAACTAATTATCTTTATCGAACTAAAAAAACGTACCTACATTTGTTTTGGTCTTGCTGGTCCATGAACTGGGTTTAGCGAGTCAAAGACATCATTTCTAATAGAAAGAATGATTATTCATTCTCGTGATTCAAAATCAGGAGCAACAATTGAAAGTCCTAACTAACCTGTTTTCACTAGTCATTGATAATAAAATGATATAGGAATGAAATTTTCTTTGATTAAACTCCTT